TTTTCTATCTGAGAAAAATTCGTGTTGGTCGGATGTCTCTAAGACTTATTTCAGAATTTTTCGTCAAATTCTCCAAATCTGATCTCAAAGAACCTGATAATGGTTGAACAAAACAACTATCACATATTATAAGAATTAATTAACATTAGTGGGAAACTTTGTTCAAAAATTTTCACAGATTTGTAGTTTTGTGGAAGATTTACGTCAGTCCAAGATGAGTGTTGACTTATGTACAATGACTTTTAAAAGAAGTGTTGGACGTTGCGAATGGTATTTAAGACTGTCGAATCTTGCTTAAAAATGTCTTATTAGAGTTTCCTTGCGAGCATCAAACTTTTTCACCCACCCACAATTTCCCTGGTTCAGAAAGTACATCTAAATTTGAAATTTGCGCTTACAAAATTTAACATGGGACCTGACTGAAGAAGAAAATATTTATTTTGTAGCATTGTTTGCTTCACAAAATCCAACGGTTTTGTGCTCCCCTATACGTTCGATAGTCTGCAGTTTATTACGCTTTACCAAATATATGGGTGTGGTTTGAGTTTGGCATTCATTTTTTTCGTTTACAATGGTGCATCATATATCATTTTGCCTGGAACTGATGTTGAATAGAAAAAAGAATTCACAATCATCGAGGGGAACAAATCATAATTTATTGAGTCTCTTAATCATGACATTTTTATCTATGTCTAAGTATCTTGCTGTTTTCCTCAGTTTCACCGTTATTGTTCAAAAGTACTGGTATTAAGTCAGCTTTTTGCAAATTATATCTAGAGGAGTGGAAGGATCTAAACGCTATTACTTTCTAGGGAAGCACAGGCACAGGCATAGATGCGTACATTGAGATTTTTTGATTCTTGGAAATAAACCAATAAATGTTAGAATCAAGAAAAAGAAACTTGACGCAAATAGACAATTTAATCTCACGTATGGAATTGCCCTACCTGCCACTTACACACCGATACTTGGTTAAAAGCACCAGCGGGACCCATTTACACAAGCAAAAGCAAGGCTGTTGTTAGAGAAACGCTTCTAAAGGTACCAGCGAGACCAAGTTACTCACTCACTCTTGTCTGCACGTGGAAGCAAGATAATCCTAAAGTGACTGTTCTTAGTTAGAGCATTTTTACCAAGAGTTGAAAACATAGATGAATGTAGCTCAAGTCACGCTGTTACGCAATTTGGCATCATCAAAAGCAACTAATAGGAGTACAACATATTTGAAAGAAACATTCTGGGATAACAAGCTCGAAAAAAGCAGGTACAAATAATACACCCGGACACTGGCGACCCAGTCTCAAAATCATTGCGACACTCATGATTGCCTTTCGAAATACGTATGACCCTTTTACGAAAATATACTTGGTCACTCATGATATTTGGCAGCATTCCAAAACACATGCCACTTGGCAGCCATCCAAGAATGAACGGTACATTTCATCATAATTTCTCCGTCTGCTGTCTCCTCGGTTGCCGTGTTCCACGGATCAGGGGTGGCCAAGCGGTGAACAACGAATTCATTATATACTACGCAGTGACTCAAAATAAGAAGTGAGAACACATTGTTCAGTGGATTTGATAAGTAATATGCAATTGCGTCGCTGACAACACTTGCGCGTCGGAAATCCCATTGGAGGTGGAAACTTGAAAATTGCGTGATTGGTTATTTTATGCGCAAGTACCTTCCCCTTCCCTTTTTTCCATTTTCTTGGCGATTGCATTAATACAATAATTCCCAATCAGAGAGAGCCTGTGCTGAGTTTTATGTATGTGCCCTCTTTGCAGCGCATACGCTGATAAGAGACCAGCTAATGCATTGATAACGCTGTGTGTATTATTGCGTAACCTTTCACAATACTATATTGCTAAAGGCTTATGTTGTCATTCAAGTGGAGCTTTGAACATTGGTCTCGGTTTACATCATATGGTAAGTCACATTTTTTGCTTGTATCATAAGTGCATTCATGGTTCAACAGGCTAACATTCCATGGTATGTGTGCTTGATCGCGAAGATCAGTTTGCGGCCATTGCTCACGCACACAGTCAGCAGAACTTCCTCCTTTTCTTTTTTTTTCTCACACCTTTTTTGCCAGCAAATGTCAACTGTCAACACTTGAAGCGATTTCAAGAAGAGCGGAGGCGATCACGTTCGTTCAAGCGGTTTAAACTTTGTGTCTCCCCCCCCCCCCGCTCTCTCTCCTCCCGAATGGGCCGCAAAATTTTTAAAAGTTATTTACATGAGTTAAAAAATGTGCAAATGACTGCTCTATGCTTCCAAGTAACTAAAATGACTTTTTGAATTCAAAATTCCTTTATCTTTGTAAAAGAAATTTTTTCGGAAGTGTGGCTACAGCCACGCCCCCTTTTCCAGAAATTTCGGGGTCCTGAGCCCGCAAAAATTTGTGAAACACTCCAAAAAATATTCGGAGTGCGCGGCTTACGCTACTCACCATCATCCAAATAATTTGCGCCACACTCTGGGAAAACTTTTTACCGAGACTGAACCAACTACTGAATAAGTGCTCAAAACTTACTCTATTTACTTCAGTATCATGGCAAAGCAAACCCCTATTTTCGTGGTCTTTCAAAAATCGATGTAAAATGAACAGAAAGAAGATCAGCTAACTGATAGATTGTGGAAAATTTAATTATGCAAGGATACCAGTTTTATCTAAATTACTGATCTTTGAACATAGCTGAGTAATGCTCATTCTTCATATTGTGTAAAACACGAAACTATGCCGACGGCGGCGATGTTGACAAATGGTCTTTGATCATCTCTTTTTCTAATCTCCCCTATCATCGGCTATGAAGAAACTGAGCCTTGCGCAGATTTTGTTGAACCCTCAGAAATTATTGCTTGTCTCAGACTGTGTTTCTTCATGAACGTGCGCGCTCGAAAAAATATTCTTTTCTTTTCTTAGGAAATTTTTTGGCTGATAGTGCTGTACTTTCAAACAAATTTTTTCACGATCACCGTTGTGTCTTCTTACAACTCTACAGAGGCGGATTCCTCCTTCTATCAGTTTCTTCAATCCGCTCCACTCATGAATCTTTCGCTGGGATACATAATTTATTTGCGGAAAACCTGTTTTCTGCAAATCCTTTTCCTAGTGGATATTCTATTATAAATGTACGACTATGCAGAAAGCCTATCTCAGACAATTTGTTTTTTTTTTGTCAAAGCTCGAGCTCCTTTTCTATGCTTCAAGCGCCTTTTGTGTACATCAGTTTGCCGGATGTAATGGCAAAAAAGTTTATTTTCATTTCAAAGAGATTATCTACAATACATGTGGTCTGATCTATTTGGGGGTCGATATATGTGACTGCGGCATTAACAACACTTGTGCGTAAAGCTGAGCCTGTCCGTGGGCATTTTACGCGCAAGTTTTGTCGGCACCGTGAGAGCACATAGCTCCTTTAAACTGCTATCCAGCCTCTCTTTGCGGACTGCCATTTAGGAGTCACGTCAGTTTCCCTCAGGCATCTACATCAAAGTAGTCTGGAAGAGACAGGGCGGGCGTTCATGCATCCAGCAATAGCGCCGCAAGAGCGCGCTCCAGCGCCACATCTTGCCCCACTAAAGACGTGCGTTTTCAGAACGCGTCAGTCTCTCTCAGACACTCGCACCGGCCGGCGACCGTCCGACGACGGCCTTCCGGCCGGCGGCCGCGCCAACTTTTAGGGCGGGGCTAAAGACCGGCCGGCGAGCGGACGATGTGATCGGGCCGGCCGGCGGCCGTTCGAGTGTGCAAAAACACAAGCAGCGCGAAGGACTGCGCATACAGTAAGGGTTCCTTCATACTACGCCGCGTACGCCACGTACGCCACGTACGCCGCGCACGCAGCGTACGCCGCGTACGCCGCTGCAGCGCAATGGAAATATGCTCACGGCAGCAGAACTCCACTTTTTTCTATGTATCTCTATATTTGCTGTACATTCGTACCCCTCAATAGTGTTCCTTTACATTATGCATTTCTTCTTCACTTTTGCTTTGTTTATCCTGTCTATCCTTTGTCTATATGAATGATTGATGGAATGACTTAGGTTGTTGTGCTCCCTCTACTGAGTTTCACATTTTGAATCGTAACTGACTGCACATTGCGTCATCTGGTTGTATAGTGGTGGTACAGGCCCCGTAAAACCCAATTGCCCACGCGTCGCTTTGAACACCAACGCGCGGCGCGGCTGGAAACGTTTGGTCCCGAAGCGCTACAGGCTTTTTTCGAGCGACAATGAGCGCGCGTCCTTTCCACACATATTTTTTTAAACTTTTGAGGGGGGCTTTCGTCGAGATATACCTTGCATTGACGATAACAACATGAAAATTAATAAAAGAATTTTTGGAATATAGTGAACGTCGACAGTCGTTCGCGACGACCGCTCTCTTACGCTGGTGTTCAAGGCACGGCGCGGGCAATTAGGTTTTACGGCGCCTGTATATGGTTGTATGGTTGTATGTTGTATCTGGTTGTACATTTGCGCTGTTAACATCTCCTTACAAACACATCACTGGATTAAAAGGATTTCTCTTCTTCATATTTCCATATTTCCATTGCGCTGCAGCGGCGTGCGCGGCGTAGGTGGCGTACGCGGCGTACGCGGCGTAGGTGGCGTACGCGGCGTGCGCGGCGTACGTGGCGTACGCGGCGTAGTATGAAGGAACCCTAAGAAAATAAATTCAAACATCACATGATTGAGCCCGCCAAACTCCAGCCTCCCTTCAACTAATTCTCCCTTATTATCGAAGTTGTCACTTCCTCTATTAATGTTCCGGTTTTCCACTTATTTGTGCCGTGTTTACGTATGTCTCGCCTTGTCTCGCCGTTATGTTATGCTGTTTATGCTTTATGCTTCATGTTTTTACAATAAACTCATACCCCAAACTTCTAGAGTGACCCCAAAGCATGGCGGCGTCGTGTTTGGAGCAAGGCTAGACCGCAATTTTTACTTGTGATAATCTGCTTGTGATACATCCTAAGATCCCTTCAAGCTAATGAACAATTCACTAGCTGAAGTATTTGCTGTGTTGAAAGAGTGAGCTGCAAATACGTTTGATTTTTGTATCTTTGCTTTATATATCTTGATTTAGGACTGTTTACTGTTTGTTTTATTGCCTGAACTCGCTGTACGTTGATGGAAAGGAAAGCCTTTGAGGTAGACCATTGAGTTCATTTACATTTCTTTTATTAGTTACACAGTAGCATTTGTAAAGGTTGTGTGTTGAGCGACTTGATAATTTGATGCGAACCCTTGAGCTAGCAAATGTCTCGACCTTCCACGGTTTGATGCAAATCTCCATCCTTTTTACGCTAGTCAGCACTGATTTGAAGGTGCCTCACCTTTAAAAGCTATCAATAACTAAGTTGTTGTCGAAAATTAGTACACAGTAACTTTAGGTTTTTCTATCATTATTGAAGCGAGCGAGGGAAGCACACCTGGACAGTTGACCTTATCATACATGGATGTTTCGATCGCTATCTGACCACTAATGGAACGTTTTCAAACGGTACGGTGTAGGCAAAATACAAGTGATCGTGAGCATATCCTTTTATGGTTTTTGTAGGTAGTAATCACCTCCGAAACGCTATCACCATTGGAGTCGTATCCAAAAATTTTGGACTTTGAGCCAGCTGTTATGGCTAGCCTTCCAATGACGTTAGCTCGGCCTTGCTTGAGTCCATTAGTAGTGGCAAGGGGTAATGATCAGGTAAGGTTTGCATATTTTTCGGTACAGTTCACTTAAAAGTGCGAATGAAGAGGTTAGGTTAAAACAGCCTTTTCTTTTGCTTGCGCTAGATTTGTCTTCATGTTGGGCGAATTGCTTTGTGTGTGAACAATGTGCTATTTCTGTACTGCTTTTAATCAAGTACTTCTAGCATGTTATCGACGAGTTGATGAAATCGAAGCTCCTATTTATTGAAACTAATGATGCTCTCGAAACATCAGTGGCCTTGGAAAAGTAGGTTTTTGATAGTACCATATTGATGACATCTAGATTTATTTCTATTTAGGTATGTAGATGCATATGTGACAGCAGCCGCGGTGTATGTTTGTTCTCTGTCGCTCGAGGGAAAGTTTCGGAAGGAATTGACTTCAGTGGTTTTGGCTTGATGTAAACGCAGAAACAGCCGTATTTATAGACGTGTTCATGTTGAATTCCGGTATAAAGCACACTTTTTCTCGAAATTTTAGCCTGGATATGCCTTGAGCCAAAGAAAAACTATTACGGGCTTTTTTGATCCAAGAGAAACAGGCTATATGACCGTTAGCAGGCATGCCTCACTCTATGTTGCCTCATACCAATGATTCCTACTTTGCCTTATCCTCTCGATTCCACATTTGATCTCATCATATAGGTGGACTCGAAAACTTGTGAATTGATGTCAATGCGTATTGCGCAGTCAAGTTGTTTCCCTGTTTTGTTCATTTGTATGATTTTAGATGTATTGTGTGTTGTATTTCTCATAATTGTTGCATTTCAATTGCTACTGTTTAGATAAGGATTCAAATGAAGACATTATCATTTTAATTTGAGAAATTTGGTGAACAGACAGAACGATCAAACAGAAAACATGCAAATTAGAGAATGAATAAGCAAAAAGTATGGTCCAGAAGTGGTTGGGTAGCCTAGAGCGTGAAAGCAGTGTCGAATTGCCGCGCGCGACATTTTCTCTGCCGGCTGGCGATCTAGCCATCTCCGGCCGACGACCGTTCCATGACCGGCTGGCGAGCGAGCACGTACGGCTGAGACGGATCACGCTGTCCCGCCAGCCGGTCATGGAACGGTCGCCGGCCGGTGCGAATGTCTGACCGGCCGACGACCGTTCCATGACCGGCTGGCGAGCGCGCCAAGAACGGCTGAGACGATCACGCTGTCCCGCCAGACGGTCGTCGGACGGTCGCCGGCCGGTGCGAATTTCTGACCGGCTGGCGTCCGGCCCGCGACCGGCTCGGCCGAAATATCGGTGATGTTCCAGACGCTCGTCGGACGGTCGCCGGCCGGTGCGAGTGTCTGAGTCGGTATCGACTGATTTCGTCACATTTGTTTGCGAAAAGCACTGCATTTGCACTAGTATTTTGATACCTCTTCATCTAGTTAGCTTATCGTGGTACCTCTGCTTTGACTTCCCAGCATTTCTGGTCTTTCTTGAGGGTATTGCTAGAAGTCTCTAGTTGTTTCCTCCCAACCAGCTGTGTTTTATTCCTTGTTTTGCATATTATTTTGACCTATCTGTACATATTCTGCTGTAAAAGAACATGGTAGTCCCACAAATCTTGACCAATTATCTTAATACAAGCTGTATCAGAAATCTGTCAATGAACGTAGATGTTTTGAATTATCCTGATTCAAATTCTCCAAATGTAAGAATCTTATCATTGAAGTTTTTTTCTCTGAAGCCCCAAACAGTATCATTTTCTCATTAATATTCTACAAAGCTGCTGTCATGAGAATTGCATAATTTGATGGTGCATTGCGCATATTATGTCTATTCTATTATGTTCAGAATGTCATCGTTGTTATCCCACATCCTATTTTTCTGACCCATCATGCCCACGCTCAAATCATTTGGAATGGCGTCAAAGCTTGAGAAGATTTCCATCCTTCCGTTCGTACTCTTACCTGAAGCTTTCACTTAGTAGCAGATACATGATCATCAGATTACAATCCTTAAGGACCCGTCATACTTCGACGAAAAAAACCCAAAAAAAGCCCGAAAGAGCCGGAACGTAGGAACGAAATTATGGTAGAACTCTGACATTATTTTGATGGCAGACGACAGAAAATGAAGCAAAAAGACTCTATTGCGAAATCAACGCCATGCCTTAGCGTCAAAATGGAAGGGGGCGTTCCGGCTCTTTTCGGCTTTTCCAGTCGCTTTTGGGGTTTTTTCGGCGAAGTATGACGGGTCCCTTACTGTCTTATCTCCGTGAAGATCAGCTTTCGAATATTATATTGCTATTGGGACGTTTATGCACGCATCGATATCAATGTTGAATAGTCTGTTGCACATACTTTTTGTGCTAAGTTTGTGAGTCTTATGAGGAACCTCTAATTTTGAGCACTATTTTGCGGTTGCGCCATAATAAACCAAACTCATGGGTTTCGCCTGGGGATGCTTGCATTAACATCCCCATTGGGGAGGGGAGCACAGCTAAAAGTAGGGCTTCATATCCTAAGCTCTGGACGTTTGGATTTCTCGCTGTCCCATCTGCAAGTGTTTTTGAGCTTTACTATAAATATAAAGAACAGGAGCAAAATTTATGCAAGACTCATTTTCCAGCTTTGTATGCCTGATGATTCCCGGCAGCTTTTCTGTTTTCGGATAAATACAAAAGATGTACCGAAAACGACAAATTGCGTGAACCCAAGGCATGGGTTTATCTAAACTTCTAGTATTTTGATGGCTCATTCGTTCATACCAATATGTTTAGCATCTTTAAACTAGTTGAATACACAGTTTTGGAATGTCTTCTTTGATTCAAAGAGAGGAAATAATTTGGAAGAAACAACGTTTCGGCTGCTTGGGAGCATCAGGGAAGCATACAAAAAGCGGAGAATGAGGCTTGTGCAACATATCGCCCCTGTTTAATTTGTTCATATAGTCGTCCTCACCCCACTAGTCGGTCGGTGAACGAATTCGAATTCGAACTGGAGCAAGCAGGTCGCGGCAGAGCACGGCAAATTAGCTATCCGTTCAAATTCGCGCATTCACTTTGCGTATTTCTTAGCCATTGCTTAGCAGTTTTTGTATTGTTACAACGTTTTTGATCTATATTGAGTTTTTTTGTAATTGCTGAGCGTTGTCTCCTGCCACGCTCTGTCGTGACAGGCCTGCTTCAATCAAATTTAAATTCGTCCACCGACCAACTAGTGGGGTGAGGGCGACTATACTAAAGGCTAGTAGGAACTCTTGCAGATGGATAGACACCGAGAAATCCAGACGTCCAGAGCTTAGCTTTGTTTTAAGCTGCGTTGCCTTCCTCAGCAGGGAAGTTGATGCATGCGGCCCTTAGAGTAGAGGGGCAATTGCAATTTGTGCGGATGCCTTATCAATCGCACAGCGTCGTTTCTTGGGGTTACGCTAGGTTTACTGTGTGTCGAAATTTCAAATTTATTCCTCAGGCCAATGGCAATTATGATATCAGCCCGAAAAAGAAATCATTGACGATGTCATAGTCTTCGTAGCAGCATGCTGGACAACTTCTAGACAAACTATTCAACAAGTTCGACATTTTGGCTCATCTACCGTACAGCTATCAAACTCACTGTTGTGATTTGCAAAACAGAGGTTTCGCCCCAGAATGTCCGAGGCAAAAAGTACCATTTTGTGTTTTGAGCTAAGTACTGCTGGTTTGTATCTACTTTCGGTGATTTACGAACGGAAAGGTTGCCCAATATCAAAAACAGAGTGAAGCCATAGTCTCTTTCAGATGCGTATATGTTTTTACACCGCTCTGAGAAGATCCCACGCTTTTTCCAAATTCTGTGCACTGGATTCTCAGATTGCATGAGATAAATTTAGGCATCATCTTTAGTCACAATGCAGATGGAAGTATTTTTTTTATCATGGCCAATTGTGAGGCTGTCAACGTTCTTGTGTGTGTACGTGCGTCGAGTGCTTTTACAACCCTTTCTTTTTATTCTATTTTCTACGTTGCCCTCCTTTCCGCTGCAGTTATCAGCTCTGTTATCTACACATCTTTCTTTGTTTGTGAGTTCAGTACCGCAGTTCCATTCTGTGAAGTTTTAAGTAATGTATGTATTTTTGTCTGGAACTTTTCCTGCAAGCTTTTTTCTTTCTTTGGTTTCCTTTCTGTCTGAGGGTTTTTTTCTATTTGACTTGCATAGGAATGACTTGTTGAATTGAATTGTTTTTTTTCTGTTTTTATACCTAAGTGCGGCCTACTTCCCCATATCGAGTAGTTGGGAAAGGCCAAATTGCAACCTATACTGTTTAGTCATGATTTCTTGAATTATCTAGAGCAACCTATACTGCCTAAGTAATATTGACATTCCGTCATGTCATGTTAGGCCATAAAATGCCGGTTTGCTTTGATTCTAAGTCGGAGTTCGTTTACCTTTGGTCAGCAATCATTTCAATGTCAGTTCTGCTACGCCGGAACGGTCATACATGATTTTTGAGACATTTTTGGGGGTTTCGACAGTTTACACAATAAATCGCTTCGCTGTTGGCTGAATTCTGGCATAAAAAATTGTTGAGTCTGCGTGTGATGGGGGCTGAGAGCTATAGTTTAAGAAAGTCCCACGAGTAAAGCGGGAGGGGAGGGGGGGGGGGAGGTATTTTAGATATCTAAACACGTCGAATAATTTGTTGAACATCCATTGCAAAGCATCACTTCTCCCACTATCCGGCTATCAAAATCCAAGCGTATACGCTATCAAACGCTTTTAAGAGGCGACGGTGCTAAAGCAAAAAAGATGAAAGGGAAAATGTTTCGTTGCGTTTTCTAACTCAGATTTGTGCTGATTGAGCCTGAGTGCGACATTCAGCTTTAGGCCCCGAGCATAGTCGACGCGATTTCATTGCCTCGCGATTCTCCCAATAAGACGACTGTTACAAGTCTATTGCATACCGTCCCTCCTGCATTTTTTTTGACACGACTAATCGTGGCAAACTCAACCGAAATGCAAAGTGATTGACATGCAATAGACCCATAACAGTTGTCTTGTCGCGAGAATCGCGAGGCGATGAAATCGCGTGCATCATGACCGAGGTCTTACCGTGGTGCGGACGGTGGTTGTGAGGCATTCTATTAGAATCTAGTGTTTAATGATGTGCTTGCATCGCCGACAACACTTGCGCTAAAAATGATGGAAGGCAGCTTTAGAAAATATGTACTATGCGTTAATTTTGAATGGTGCATGTGTAGATGCGCAATTTTTATCGCTTGACTTACATCAAATAGTACATATTTAGTATTTCATGACGTTCTAGAAGTTTAATGTCTAAACGATATGTATGGAGTTCTTCACTCTTACTATCTTGGAATCAGAAACAAATGTTAGTTGTCGAAGATCTTAGAATGCAGCTGAAGGCTGAACTCTATAAATATCTTGTCAGTTTCCCAGTGAAAGCCGTCAAAATCAGCATCACCAGCTTCAAACAGGTAGAGGCGAAAGCAATTTGTCTTTTTTTTTCGAATTCTCGCATAGTACTGAACTAGACTTTTGTGTTGGAGAAAGCCGGAAAAAATGCGTCTTGTTTGTCTCTCATTTTGGACGCGCAGTGCTTTTGGCACCATCAACGCGCAGTGCTTTTGGCACCATCAATTGTTGTCGACCATATAGGCAGTAGATCGGCAAAATGGACCTCTGTCTTTTGGTATCAGGTAGTATACCCCTCAACTACATCATAGCCCCCATCCCACTCTGCAATTCATGGGCTAAGTCCTGAAAAAAGCGCTTCAAAACTCCATCAGTGACGCCCACCCAGTGGAAATGAGCGGGGCTGGTGGTTTTGAAGCTTCTTTTCAGGACTCAGCGCATGAATTGGAGGGAGGAGGTGGGGCTACGGTGTACTTGGGGGTATAGTACCTAACACTACCAAAATCTGATAGCGGTCCATTTTGCCGATCTGCCTTCAAGTTTGCCAGTCTAGGCATTCGACGTTTAAAGATGCAATCGACTAATAAATACAGCACATATCCGAAGTCGCATGATGCTGTTGAAACTTCGGCTTGTGGTTGTACCGTCTATAGTCCAGTCGTCTCATAGCAAGGCGCCAGACTAGCCGATTGCCTGCTTCAGCAGGACGCGGCGCATTTAGTAAACTGATGTCTTTTGACGTCACATTGGACGGAAATCGAAGCTGCGATGTTTGCAACAATTGTAGTTTTGGAGAGATTATGAATAAGCCGCAGTATGAAGTGAAAAGTCCTTATCTTTGAAAAAATTTTGTTGTATCGAAATCGCGGACTTCGACGTAATTTGCCCCCAACGTGACACCAAATGACAGTGACTGCGCCACATCTTGTTGAAGCAGGACGATCGGCAAGTCTGGTGTCTATCAAATGATCATATTGTTACTGTGTTCTGATTGTTACAAAGTTTGTTTACCGTCTATATCTGAATTTTCTGGCCATAGACTGAGAATTCTTCCTTCTAGGTTGTTGTCCGTCGGTGTTCTTGATGTTTTCTGTCCATCTAAGGCCAAACTTCCTCAAAATGAGTGGACATTCACTCGTACAGGCAAAAACCCAGGATGGGATGGCAAAGACGATGTGATCGCATGAAATGACTGGACTGTAAAATATAGTAAAGATTTTTTTCTGTTAGAATCAAAGAGCAGTTTTGGATCATTGATATTTTAACGCTTGCGCTGAGCATTGACACTGCTAGCCGCGGCTATCGGTAAACGATCGTTCGACAGGGCAATGGTCGCGACACATTCAGGCCATTACCCGTGTACACAAACGCCCGTAGACGACCGCCTCCGCGGCCGCCCGCCTGCGTCCCTACCGCGCTCGTCCCGTCGCTGGTCTCCGGTTTCTCTCACGTCTGACTTGGGGGTGTGCGTGTGTGTATGTGCGGAGATTCACGTCACTCCCAAAAGCGGTTCTCGTTCTTAGCATTTTTCGTCATCAAAAGCCTCGTATACCGTGCTTTTTCCAATCGCTGCCATCACAGCATTTTTTCGCGACATCATTGATTGTTTTCATGAATACTAAATCACTCTTATTTGTTTGCTCATTTGCACTAGCGTGGGCATCATTTGTTCGCTGTCGTTTCGACAAACTGGTTTGCCCGTACTTTTATATTGTATCTCGCATTGTATTCTTTGATTCGCTACGATATCGGCCCGTAATTCTAGCATTGCAGAAGTTCTTTCCTGGTTATCCAGACGCTGACAAGAAGAGAGAGTTACAATCTATCTCGCTGTAATTCTTATCTACTGCCCAGATTTTTATCATAAAATGCATATCGAACACGTTGAGGAGTTCACAACCTGGCTAATCACAGAATTAACACCGATGTGAGTAATTTTATCTGCCTTATGAAGAATTATAATACTTTTTTGAACTTTCATGGATTGTATCGATTGTTTTTTCAGCTGCGATGCCGAACCAGGTGCGCTAGCAAAATACGTTCTGGCTCTCTTGCGGAAACCGAACAAGTCTGATGAAGAGATGAAAGCGTTTAGCACAGATCAATTGGAGGTTTTCTTGCAAGGAAGTGGGTTTTCTTGGCGATAATGCGATTGGGCGTTTACGAAGTGTTGACTGGGTGTTTATCTTGTGGAGTAAATCGCGATTTCTCAAGGAAGTCAGCTATCGGGCTAGTAAGGGATTTGAAGAAGTGACTTTTTCACTGGCAAAGATTTATACATAGCACTGCCTTTAGTAATAAATACGTATCTTCACCAAAATTGAAACATGTTTTCAACGATCATAATCGCTCAAATTTTCTTGCGCTTTCTTTGATCGAATGATCGGCGTACTGTGAAGCAGTAAAATCCAATTGTTTGGAAATCTCCCATGTTTTTTTCTTGGTTTTTTTGCGGCCTTTCCAGCACGATGGTATTCAATCATGTTCTTTTCTCGAATCAGTATTCCTAGTGCACCATAAACTGTAGAATCATCAATAAATCACGACAGAAACGTCAACTAGAATCATTTAGACACGAAAAAATTTGTGGACAAGATGTTCGCCGTGCTCCAGGACGGTTCTTATGTGCCTAAGAGAGAGCCATCACCTATTCCTGAGGAAGCGGTTAAGGAAAGAGTTGCAAAACGTGAAGATACAAAGAAGAAGGAAAGGGAACCAGTCGAAGCAAAGGTATGCAGATCCTTTTCTCTTCATCGCATAATATTGATTAACTGTTACGATTTAGCCAAGCCGAGAATCTGCAAGGAATGGTGATCACAACGAAGATCGTCGCAAACCTCCTCTAGAAAAAGTTGAAAGAGCTCCAAAGAAGGAAGATGTGCCCCCTCCCACAAGAAATGAACGCCCTGCACGAAAGCGTATCAGCCCTCCACCTGTGGATACCACAAGGGTAATCTTTAATTCAACAGCTTCCAGTTTTATGGGTGTTATGTTCTGTTTTTGTAGAGGGACATTCGAGAAAACGTTCGAGACGTTCGAGAACCGTTACGAGACCCGCGGCGACGTTCTCGCTCGCGTTCGCCTCGCGATCGACGTGGAAGGATTGGAGCTCGTCGTTCGCCAAATGAGCGTTTCCGAGGCGAGCGGAGGAGAAGCAGGTATGTATCTTGAAGTTTGAATGGTCCGTACCTAATGTAATGATCAAGAACTGCTAGTTTTGATATTTCAACGAATATATTTTTTTGAGGTCTCGTAGTGAAGGTCGCAGCAGATCTCCAGAGCGTCGTGACCGACGCTCACCTCGGTCCGATGAACGCAGAAAAAGACGCTGCCGTGATTATGAAGGTCAGCAACTTTTTCCGCTAGTGCTTCCTTCATCGCAGACGTACCATTTTTACAGAAAAAGGATATTGCATGCGAGGAGACATGTGTCTGTTCGATCACGGCCCTGATCCGGTTGTAGTCGATGACTCTGCGCTTGAAAAAATGGTGAAAATTCCGGATAAACCGTCAGCGCATAATTTCAGGTGAGTGACGATAAACATAAAATGGAATCGCTTTCAACAAAAAAGTGTCGCGTATCACTAAAGTTACAGTATCCCACCTCCTGGCTATCAACCACCCAATCCTCCACCACCTGGAGTGGAGCCGATCTTTACGGCTCCACCTCCTGGACCGAGACCTGTTGAAGGTAAGATAAGATTTTGTGCAATGTTGCATTCTTTGGACCCGATGGCTCCATTTAAGGATACAATCCTGAAGCACCGTCATTGAGCGGCCCAGATTTTTCTATGCCACCACCTCCAATTCCAGTTACGATAAACGCTGGCCCATGGCGTCCAAGCCCTTATGCAGTGCCGACCACTGCCAATGTTGTTGTACCTACGGTTAGTTTATTTTTCCGTTTTGGAGGGAGGCCAGTGGAAAGGGAACTCTGTGCAAAATATAAAGACGTGCTGGTCATTTAGGTTGGTTACGATCCATCTGGTGGCATCCCGGTTGATCCGTCTTCTGCTGGTGCTATTTCAAGACCACCAATGATGCGAGGTGGCATGCGTGGACGAGGTCGCGGCGCTCAGGGAAGAGGCGGTTTCCCACAGGTGTCAAACAATCGCGGTGATGGGAAAACGTTGCAGGTTGGTTTTAGTTTCGGGACAGGGATGAATTAGTGAGTGTGGTGGGGTAATCGGTGACAAGATTTGAAGAAAGAGTTGGGAAAGGTAGCGTCAATTTTTGCAGCTAAGCCATTTCTGTTCAGGTGAAGAAGATTCCGCCTGAGCTCAACAACATAGCTAAACTGAATGAGCATTTTGCAGCGTTTGGAAGCATCGTCAATATGCAGGTAATTATCGTTTCTTATAAGTTGAATATTTTCCTTAAACCCAAGACTCTAGGTTCGATTCAATGGCGAAGCGGATGCTGCACTTATCACCTACGCATCGCGTGGCGAAGCCATGGCTGCTTATAAGTCACCCCAACCTGTGTTGAACAATCGCTTCATCAAGGTGTTCTTCTATAACCCTGATATCGTTGCTGGGGCAACAGCAGGACAGGATGTAAGTTTGATCTTGTCTGAGTTTTGTAGTTGCTAAGTAATAGCATTTTCCAGCGCTCAGTGCTCAATTCTGGTGTGAATGTGGATAAGCCAGGATCTGAAAATGCTCCTCCACCTGCTCAACCTCCCACGAAGGTTGCAACTATCGAAATGTCAAAGTTCGTGAATCAAGAGTTGAAGGAAAGCCGTGAGAAAATTATGGAAGCTCGTCGTAAGCTGAAAGTTGAAAAAGTTCGTTGTATAGACTCAAAAAGTGGTAATTTGCCATTGATTTTTTTTTTGTTTAGTCAAATCAAATTTCGATCTTCAACGTACATAAGAGGCAGACCGACTTGCTACAGAAGTTGATGGATCGCCAAAAAATAATCGTTAAGAAGGTAAATTCTTTTGAAGCTTGGAGGAATTTTTTGAATTTTCGCTGATGTTTCAGTTGAAAGCAGAAGGAGAAAATATGGAATCCACAGAAAAGAAAAAACTTCTCACTCTTGTCAAACAGCTCATGGAAAAGATTACAGTAGGCAAGAAAGAGGTAATTACTTTGCCATGATGCTCAAGGCCCTACAGATTGATATTGACAGATTGATTGTTCGCTTATTTTTCTGAGTGATGAGTTGTTTTTACAGATAGATGAGCTGTCTGCTAAATTAAAAGCATGCATGGAAAACATTACCGAATTAGAGAAAGTGATCTCAACCGAGAAGGAGATTAGAAAAGGCTCGGATAGTGATGGCCGAGATAGTGCTAGTCCTTCCTCTCCTACCCAGGAGGGACAAGTCAACGTGATTTCAACTCAGAATTTACTTAAAAGAAAAGCTGATGATGGTATGTTTTGTGTTTTGCGTAGTGTTTTGTTTTATTAATCACATCTTGCTTTTCAGGATACGGTAATGATGCAAAGCGTGGTTCGGCTATTATCTCAGTCAAAGGAGTGAAGGTACAATGACATCAACGTCTACATTATCTTTACTAATTTTGATTCCAGACTGATGAGACCGACGCGCTTGTGGAGCACATGGGCCGTTATGGGGATGTGTTGAACGTTGAAATAACCAAAGATGATGAGCCCATGGTTCTGCTCACGTTCCGAAGTCGTGAAAATGCTGATCAAGTAGTTACCATGATTCCTGAATGTAGCGTCATTAATCTGATCTATTGCATATTTCAGGCTGTTGTCGATGGCGCCATGTTCAAAGGTCGGATGTTGGATGTGACCTGGCTTCGACACACCAGCAGCAACGAAGAGAACTCGCCACTGAGCGCAGATAAAGTGCTGGCCGGCATTCCACAGAGTGAGGTGAGCGAGATTGGATTGGATTGGTCTAGCTTGAAAAGTTGCCCTGACAAGTCATTATTTATATTATTTCCATGATTCGGTGCTTTTCAAGGTTGTTCTGACCTTTTTTTTTTACAAAATCAGATTATACTAGTTCTTTGAGAAATGTTTTGATCATCGCATTCAATAGCTTCGTTCATTTTATAATCTATTATAATTTCCGCTCAATATCGTGTGCTTGCGGTGCCGAGATTTTGCTCAAGTTCGCACGTGAGCAAACCGTCATGTAAGTAATTTTGGCATAAGGATGCCAGTGCTCGGTACGATAGGCGCAGCAAATGTTCACGTGTCTGTGTAATCGCAGAATCTTGGCACTATTGTCGACTCCCCAACTGTGGCGAGGTGGATCCGTGATGATAAACTAAAATCAATGGATCAGGTATGCCTCAGCACAGGGCAACCGCAACGCAAGAGCCGCTAGCGCAGCTCCGCCTCGCCAAAGTTGATGAGCCGCTCATACCTAATGTCAAGTAAAAAGTCTAGTAGGGATTGTGCAGAATTGCCGTGTCCAAGGCGTCTACTAAGCACCCTTGACAGTTCGCGAGATGAGCACATGATAAAGGAATCGTCTTTTTCAGTCAGATGATGAGTCGTGATTCTGTCGGTTGCAAGTGCTCGTTTCACCTATTCTACGAGGTATTCTACTATGGGAGGTTATAGTGTGCGATATATATGGCGTCATCAACGATTCCCGTCTTCCCGGAACGATATATCTGATCCTCATTTAAATTTCGTTTGCGGTTGTAGGTTGTGATCCCGTTGTTTATCATGTCTTTGTCATACTTCAACTCATAACTTGTCCTCTCCGCGTAGACTTTCTAGATTATAATTCGTATTCCACAAGTGTTTTATATTTCCTATAGTTTCTGTCAGTTTTTATGGTAAAAGAGAGCGAAAATGCTCCATCAGGTAATAAAATATATGTTCACAAGAAAGTGTTGGGCCAAGAAAAAATGAAAGAAGATAAAAAAAGAGAAAAAGATTGAAGAGGCGTGAAAAGAGCCCAAGATGGAAATAGAAGAGAAGCACATGGTTTTTATTTCTCGTTTTTCTTTGTTACGTTGTATATATTGTTATATCACGTTCTTGTTTTACGTTCTTTCCTCTCAACATTTTCAGGTGCATCGATCGGGTATATGCATAGCAAAAACGGTTACGTGATGATGCGGGTCGTGATGTGATGCGTGTGCTTCTCTCACTACTAAAGAGACAATAAATTCTTTTTTTCCATTGTTTTGTGTCACATGTGAAGATAGGAGCTAACTAGGGAATGGTCAGAATTCGAAGTGGCCAATCCAAGCAAGCTGCATAACATTAGATGCAGCATAAAACGCTGACTCTAAATTTGTCTTCCCTATTTGCAGGACACTTTTGTGAATGAAGCTATAAGCCATTGAAGACCACCATTTTGCTAAGAAATCATGCATGGAAAGGATTGGCCGTAGAAGGCCATGTTCGGCTTAATTTCAAACCGAAACATCCAACTAGGTTACTCGATAGCCCATACCTAAGAGTAGCCAAACGGACAATGCTAAGCTTGAATTCGCAATTTTTATGCACGATTTTTTTTGCAGTAAAATTGCTCATAACTTCGCCTACTAAGGCGTTCTGCACATAAGGAAGACAGATTTGAAGTTAGCGTTCTGTGCTACATCGAATGGTACACAGCTTGTGTGGATTGGCCCTTCGACTTTTGATCATTCTCTTGTAAGCAGTCATAAAATTTGCAGCTTTTTGATCGATCATCAGAATTCTTTTCAGATATCTTACATGTGTTGTGAGTTAAAACAAAATAGTAGTACACAGCAGATGCATATGTCATTTAAAGGCAGTGGCTCGGAAAATCGGCAGGTATGGGCTCTCCTTGGGTGTAGGCCCTTCTGAACCTGCTCCAATCTCGACTGTTGTAAGAGGTCAGCGCTAATTAGGGGTCACTCCGTGATTGGTTGCTTCACGGTTGCGTTCGGCTGACTCAAGAAGGCGCGTCGCAAAGTGGACGAGTTGCATTACGGTAATGACCTACTCCCACAAAGTACTGAAGAAAAGTCCATCATTCTGCTACCCCTTGTAATATCGCTTGCCACTTCATAATCTGGTATTCCTAAGGTATGAAACATTTTCAATGTATTTTTTGCCTCCGAAATTGGACAGCTATTTTTCCCTTTTTTCAAACATTCACTTACATGCTCTAGCCTACGTCTGCCATCCTTGTAGTATCATGCAAGGATGGCAGACGTAGACTAGAGCAGTCACATTTAATTGAAATGCGCACTACATGGATGCCTGTAAGGAAAGCATACGATTTTTCCTACACGAAAGCTACAGAGTTTTTCACAGACTCAAAAATTTATTTTTCTCATGTTTCTAATTCTTGACGCACATGCATGGTCATATTTATTCGATAATTTGGTCAACAAGTTTGATTCTGGCAGCGACGTAAGTTTCCAGCATGCATAATGTGTTTTATATGAAAACTAAGACGTATGTCCATAATTATTAGCCGAATAACGATTTTTTGAATAAGCTTTTGTAACATCGCGCATTTGCACGTTCTGATAAAGATCAATCACTACGGAACACTCGTTAGATATGTCTCTAAAAATTTGCTGTATTGATTTAACTGCGCGGGCTTTCCTCGAAGACATCAAGCAATTCACATTAGCACAAAGATGTGATCATGCATGACGCCATAAGGATCGCGCACATGAGAAAGCAGTAGTGGAAAAACAACGAAATAAATGAGAATTGATCTAGAGCTGAAAATCGATTGTTTTACAGTTCTAGAATTCAAAAAAACCAAAAAAATGTATTTCATATCAAGGTACATACTTGGAGGAATGTGAAACAGGGGCACAGAATATCAAAATTCAGCGATTGACAGATAGCTCTTTTGAATAAATGCGTTTGCAGTTAGCACTTCAGGTACTGGACCCAAATGAAAAGAGCTGGTGATTTTCGAAAATATTCGACTCGGCGGAACACTCGTTCGCACCCAGCGCAGCGCATGCGCCCGCGCCCTAGTTCTAGATTACTGTAGTAGACGGTTGGTTCAGAAGGGCCTTCTCCCGCTTTCCACGGCAGACTGGTTGGGCTATCTCCGGTTTTTTCTTGGAAATCTTTTAGATAGTGGCTAGCAAATGAAGGGGCATGGGTACCATATCCTTAGATTGCAATTCGTTTAAATTCATACTCGATGTGCAGTTACGATACAGTATTCTGTTTCGCACATGTAGCAATGCTCATGGAGTTTTGGGCTCTCCTCGGCAGGCCGGTGGGTGCTTACCCGCCGTCGTTTGCTTGTTTGAATACTTTAAGATCGTTTGCTGGCTAACGCGGGGGGCATGGGTTCCATCTCTGTGGATATAACTCATTATTGACATTCGTAATATGCAGCAGTCTTCTTGCAAGGTAAATCGTTATTCTTTAGTTTGTATGAAGTCTGGGCTTGAAGCATATGATGTTCTGTTGCTATTGTGTTTTGTGTTGAAACTAACAATTTACATTGATTGTTTTTTTTTCTTTATGGAACGCCTCGAGCGTATTTAAGGAAATGAAATGAAATGAAATCCTCGACTTTTGGTTCTTTTCGCTTACCTGGGGTAATTCGACGCGCTGCTTCCGAAAATCCACTATTCAGAGCGCGAAAATGGCGAAAACCAGCATTCTTCAAGCTCCCTTATTTTGAATTTGGACGAGTGGAACGCTACCCCCCCCCATGGTTAAGACGCAGAGTCGTTATGGGATCCTCATGTTTATAGCATTGCGGCATGCCGCCTCTGACGGCGTGGGGGATATCGCGAGCTCGTCCGAGCGCGTGTAACAATGGCTTGCGCGCTCGGCTTTAGGGGCAATTTTCTAGAAAACATCCTTCTCGGCGAGTGTGTATTCGCCTCGCTGTTGCTCTGTGAGCTCCTGGTTGACCTGTCCTTGGTAGTGTTCAAACCGGAGGCGTCCTTCCTTGAAGCGACGGCAGATATTTTGCTGTTGTTTCAAAGTCGACGCGAAGGCATCGCCGAGGGTCTTCGGAACTTTGTTCATGTCAACAGCTAATGGAGTCTGGTCTTCGGCAGCCGCTGTGTCCGAGACGTATCGTACGATGTTGATAGCTGGTTCGTTGCGAATGTCCACCAATGTCTTCGAGAATTGTACCACGACGTTGTTAGTTGAAGCCGTTACGATCCCTCGTTGGCGCTGGCTGATCGCGAGAGGGCTAGCAACAACTGCCCCTATCATCGTTTTCCCATTTCCGTACGCTTAGATGGCTACGACGGAGTAATCCGAGCATCCTAATTCGACTGCCTCGCACTGGTCTGGGGATAGCCGAAAAGGGTTGGTATTAGTGCGAAAGACAAGCTGGTCAGATTCGGACAGCTGAGGAACACCTACACGGGGCGTAGGAGAACATTCCAAAAGAACAAGGTTGTAAATCCGACTGATGTCAAGATTTCCATGCGCGAAATCGCTTCGTACGCTGGCTCGGATGCTACTGGTGAATTGCCCCAGCGTACGGTGGCGATGAGATGGTACACGTTGTCGACGAAGGTACCGAAGCGTTGGGTGGCTTCCATGAGGGAGTCGGCCACGAGGGTGGCGCGGAGCTCACGTGTTTCTTTCCAGGATGATATCGACGTGGTGTACTGCCAAAATGATGGTGTGAGGAGCTCCATCGATCCAGAATTCGACCGGGCAACCGCGCTTCCAACCTCTCTCGGATGACATTCCTGGGATGGTGAAAACGATCTGGAGCGGGTATATGCGTAGGTCATCGCTGTCTACCCAATGCGTTAGGCGGTCATCACTGTTCGATTTGACGGCGGTCAATGTGGAGCATGCCATATTGAAGAGGTGCGCCATACCTAGCTTGGCGAGTGAGGGGGTGGTGATCACAGAGCCTCTTCCTGGCCGTTAGCGACACCGGCGGCGGAGAACAGGATTGCGTGAAGACGTTGTAACGTGCCTGTCCGACAACATCATGTGGACGATTGGCTAACTTGTGTGCTCGTTGTAAGATGATCGAGGTTTAGTTGCTTTTCACGCCACGCGGAACTTGCTTTTGTGGTTAGAAACGTGTATAAACTATCAATTTATTTACAGTATATGCAGATGATATGTACACTCACACAGGGCAGATTGTATTGGAGCCGGCAAACTTGAGCGCGAGGAGTACTTGGGGCGGATGGACAATTGAACCCAACGATACAAGCGACATTTGTGCATTTCTTAGCTCTACTTTTATATGAACAGAAATCAGATAACAGCGCATTCTACACCGTTCCCACAATACTGTTAAAAGGTTGTTGGATGTTAAAAGCTTAAGCGCGATTAAAAGCCTTGATAATACGGTGGCATTGAGCTATGCTGCGCGTCAATGGCAAAGGCATTTTTACAGCAGATAAGCATGGGAACGGTTTTAAATCAAGTAATGGATGTTGTAGTACAATACACGAGCAAAACTTTGAATTACAACACAACACACAATTGGTATCACGTGGTCGATGACGACACATCTTGTCCTCCCGAATATCGGCGATGTTGAAGTCCGTGAGGGCAGCCGTGATGATGGCCGACTCCGAAGCTCCCGCAGAACCAGCAGAAAACTTATGCGGAACCACGTTGTCCTTACGGTAAATGTGAATGGCGTTACCGAGGATGTTCTAGCGAGACTGAGGTGCCGCGAAAGCAAATGTGGCTGCGCAGAAGAAGAACACTGCATCGTTATGCAGCCTGTAAGTACGCGGTGAACGGGCGCTCCAGGATCATTTGTGGATCTCTAATCCCCTAAGGGTGAGCTCCACGGTCCAAATCCAGACAAAGTCCTTAACGGAGACCATCGACTTGTCGAAACCGCGAAGGTTGACTGGATGTTGGTGGCGAACTGGTCCAGAGTGAGGCAATGGAGTTCCTTTTGGTCGGGGCCCGGTACAAGGAAGTCCTTCGTTTCGAGGATCAATCCTGCGCCTCGATTCGTGGCAAAAACTTGGTGCAGGAGCGGACGTCGGCCACGGATAAAAGAAAGGGGTCCCGACAGCGTAGAATTCTTGCCCTTCGGGGTCTGCTGGCGGGTATTCTAAACAAGGGTAAGGCTCCAGACAGAAGCTGGTCCTTGATGGAATTACATTCGCGCCAGAAGCGTATGGCTGCTTCGAGGGTCTGCAGTTCAATGAGGGGAATGCGTTCCGTCCGTCCTACGCGCTCTGGGTTGACGTAAGGG